GGCTAATTTTTCAAGAAATGGTATCATGAACTTCCATAACAACCACATCTGGGCGGAAGATAACCCACATGTGATAACGCAAACTCATTTCCAAGACAGATTCTCTTTTAATGTATGGGTAGGCATAATTGAGTGTTATACATTTTTTGGTACACGAGCTTCCCCAACTTATGGAAGATATTCTCATTGGTCTCCGAAATCACTCTTGGTTTATGCACGATGGAGCTCCTGCTCGTTTCAGTGTAATAGCAAGAAATTATTTAGACGTAGCATATCCCCAACGATGGATAGGAACAGGAGGCACTGAGCATTGGCCCCCGAGGTCACCGGACCTCAATCCCGTCGATTTTTTTCTTCTGGGACACCTAAAATCACTAGTTTATGCTAGCCCCATTGAAAACGCGAAAATGTTGAGGGATCGCATCATAGCTTGTTGCGAAACGATAAGAAACACTCCGGGCATTTTTCAACCGGAAAATGTTCAAGTGACTTGGCACATTTGGTACATATCAGAAATACGCGTCGGACTGTGGCTGCTTATCATCATCTTTGTATATTCAGTTGTACATAGAACTTTAGTTGGCCCACACCTGATGGCCGTTCTGTGTATTTGCAAAGCTAACCTCTGGATGGTGACCTTATCAAAATTTGTTGAATCTTTTTTAAGCGACTGGATTCATTGCAATTCTAAGTTAACAACTCCAACGAATTTAGTTCCAATGTGGTAGACTCTTGGAACTTATCTGGATCCAAAGGCATGATAATTTTTCCTAAATTAACAACAGCTGAGATAACTTGTTGATGAATATGAACTTTTTGAAGTATTATCAAAGTTATTGTGATAACTATAAATTGTTTTGCTTCAGAACTAACCAAAGAATTGGAGGAAGTTATCAAAGGGGAAAACTTCGTTTTATCCATGAAACATATCAAGCCAAGGAAAAGATCCAGAGGAGTAATGGAAACGTTATTTGCTGTTGAATTTCCGGGAGCCAAACATAAATTTTCGCTGTTGCTAGATAGAAAAGTCAACAAAGGTGAGTATTATATGCAGTGTGTTATGAAACTATTCGTACATCTTTTTCCTATTCATTTTATCAGAAATACCACTTTCTGCAACAGACAGTGGAGGGATATTAACCCCTACCAGGTGAGGTATCGTCTGTGGAGGTAACAGTCCTCGCGAAAGATTCTTGGGCAGGGAAAGTAGATTTTGCATTAGGAGAGGGTACAGATTTTACTTGTGGAGATCAGCAAAAGTTTACAATCAAACGATGAATCGAACACCAGGAGCAAAAGAGCTCTGCAAGGCTGGATCTGATTTATTGTCAGGTATTGGTACTGATTTACAGATCCCTTTATATGGGGGGGTTGTTTTGGTTATTGAATTGAAAACTATGCACCTTGAATATTATCCAACCCCAACACTGACCAATCAACTAGAACCTCTACCATCATGGCTGCTGCAGAGGATCTAGGAGCTACACATTGCTGCCTGGATAGAGACAGGTCGAGGATAGAGGTTACTTAAGAGGTTCAGGAGATTTACAGCATTGGAGGGTACAGTTGGTACCGTACCTATTACATATCCCGAAAGAGGTCTCATACTGAACTCAAAACACATGGAGTTCCTTTGGTTTCGAAAATCAAGTGGACCCACCCTTACCATCATTTTCTTACTTTCAGTGATCGTGGAAACATCTGAAAACAACAAGAAACGCTCCCAGTATTTCATCGTCGACTCCCTCCATGATGAAAGTGCAATAAAGTCCCTTATTCTTGCTGTGAATCAAACGCAACCTGGCGCACATGCTACTTTGTACCTGGATTGTACTTCATATGGAATGGTTGCTCTACCGGAAACTCTGAGGGATATGTTCAGCAGCATGAAGCATCCTAAAATTGAAGTGGTGAGTATGACAAAGCATTCATTTTAAAATTACGGTATATTGAAATACTAAGAAGATATTAACGTCCTGTTTTGCCATAAAAGTTGAAGTTCTTAGGTTGAATTGCAACCTCTGGTGAAGGGTGCAATAGACAAAAACTGAGCTAGAACATACTTAGGTGATGAGAAATGGACAGAAAAAAATGCGAAGCAAGTCAGAGTCAAAGTTTTCCCATAGCACGGGATGAAAGACCCTATGCGCGTCCCACTGTCCTCCGACATTGCTCGTAAGCCACATCATAAAAACATCATGAAAACATCTCCACTGTTCATACTGTACAAAGTTTGACTGAAAAATAACAGGATTTTTGGTGTAACTCGCTATGCCCTGAAGGTCGTCTATGTTCAAAAATGATTAAAAATGGCGTAAGAAGGTTGATTCACTAAGAAAAAACCTAATGACTGAAAGAACTAACAATGAAAGATAGCAAAGTTTGTTTCGGAAAAGTTTCTTACTTTCAATTAGGTGCTATGTAAAATTTCAAGAGGTAAATAGAAATGTCATCAATAACCCTCGTGGCTGATGTGACTGTTTCGAAATGACAAAAATATATCTTGTTAGAAACAGTTTCGATTGAAAACATAGGATTCGATACTACAAAACCTAGGCACCGAAGGTGGATGTGGCAGAGCCGGGATCAACAATTCCACTAGCCGCGTTGGGTAATTTCTTTTGAATCAAATTATTTCCTTACACAATCATGAAATTTCACTCCATCAACATAGCCTGGGACTGCTAGAATCTATGAATGGAAGGCTTTTTGTCCGATTTGAGACCAAAATCTTTCAGCAACTTTGATGGCCTGAAACAAAGTCTCTTTTCCACAGATACTTCTACAGGAAGTGTGCAGTTGACTTGACCAGAAGTACGCGGCAAAATACCACTGCACTTCGCTTTGAGGTTTTATTAAACATAGAGGTCTAGAAATATACTTCCTGAGAACTCTTTCTTTTAAAAAACGGTTTTCCGCTGAAATAAACCTACTGAGACTAGGAGACCATAATAGAGAGGACTGGATCCTGCGGGAGAAAGAAATGTTAAGAGCAGATAGTTGTTGGTTCACAGATGGATCAAAAACACCTTCCGGTTCTGGTGCAGGTGTTTCCAGTCGCAGACCCAGGACAGAGTTATCTACTTGCCTAGGAACTTACGCGAGTGTATTTCAGGCGGATATTTAAGCTACTGAATTGTGTGCTGAGAGATTGGATCAATCCAACCTCACTCACAAGTCAATAAAAATATTTTTGGGCAGTCAAGCGGCGTTGGAAGCTCTTGGCTCCCACCGAGCAAAGTCTAAATTGGTAGCAAACTGCAAAAAAAGACTCTTCTCGATAGGAAGACTGAACAAATTGTCTCTGGTCTGGATTCCTGGCCATACTGGCCTGGAAGGCAATGAGGTTGCTGACTCTCTTGCAAAGGAGGGTGCTGCAAGCGCCTTCATTGGACCAGAACCTGTCATTGGCATCGCTTTGGGCTTTGCCAAACAAATACTTAACACCTGGATGGGAAGAAGAGTTATGGACTTCTGGTAGAATCTTCCAGGATTGGCTCACTTCAAGGCGTTTATTCACCCTTCGAAGGTTTATTCCAAACAGTTGTTGGACTACAGTAGGGATGAACTACGATGTCTAACAGGCCTTCTTACAGGTCACTGTCATTTGAATCATCACATACAGAGACTTGGACTGTCGGAAGAGAGTGTGTGTTGCTTCTGTCTGGAAAATGATGAAACTGCAGAGCATATACTTTTTGCCTACCCTGCTGGGGACCGAATCAGGTTCTTTGAGTTCGGCAGATCCGTACTCTCACCATCTCTCCTGAAAGACCACTCACCATACAAACTAAATGGCTTCGTTAAGAAGCTGGGTTTATTTGGCCGAGTGTGAATAGGTGTGAGCCACAATAAACCCTTATGGGTTGCGGTGGAGGGTCGAATAGACCCACTCACTTTAGACTTACCTACCTACCTACCTAGGGGACCATAGAATGAACAATTCAAAATATTGAATTCATACGGATGTTTTGAAAGTTTTGCCACTGGGATGATCAAAAAGAGTGTGGGTAGTTAGCAAAGATATTTTGCGTGATACATTTAAGCAAGGTGAGCGAGTGAGGCGTTGAACAAATGCACAGCTTGTTATCGATTAGTTCCTTACTCCGTTGCTCTGAAGCCAGCTGAGATCGGGTGAGCGAGGTGTCCGGACTTCTATAGTCAACGTATTATCTGTGTCTCTGTTTTTGGTTCACATCGTAGTCTTCTTCTTTGTTCTAGTTATCCTCGAAACATAATATTTCTCTTCTCAAATATTACAGATAATGCGAATTTTCTTTTTCGTGATTGTTTTCATATTTTCGCGTTTCCCCTCAACTTACTTTCATCTAAAAACATATTCACGTGCTCGGTGTTCGTTGAGCCTAGCCAACAATACAAACTTCATCGTATCGATCAGAAATTTGCCTCGGGAACAATTACAACGCTTGTACTAGTATTCTAGAAAGCCGTAACATAAAATCCCGTTACTGCTGATTTATTGAGTCATATTCAATAAAACGTATTCTTGAAAGTGAAGTAACTTGTCTTTCCATAAACGCCGTTGAATTTACGACCCTCATTTGACCACAGAGGTTGCAGGCTGCTGCGTATTTCTTGTTATTGTTCCGTACTTACACTGCTAAGATCTTAAAACATGGGCTGCCGTGCCTCTGCATAATACAGCTAGTGTTATTCGTCTATGAAAATAAACAGCTATATCCAAAAAACTCCGAAATACATACTTACGGTACTCGGTGTGAAAATACTTTACACCACCCTTACTCTCGCTTGCGTCTGCGTCAGAATTCCCCAAAATACTTGGGTATTGAATGCTTCAATAAAATAACAACTTTTATAGGGATCAATAAAAGTAGAACTGTAATGAGGAATGAACTATATTATGGTTTCTTGTTGGATAACTGCTTCTGCAGTATGGATGAATTTCTTGCTTTCAGTGTTTTTTTTTGTATCTTGGGAGCTGTCTGACTTGTCCATTTTGTCCAAGTCTCCAGAAAACACTGCAGCTTTTTGGGCTTATTGCGTTTATTCTCCCATCTTTTTTGGGAAAGAAAGTTTTTGGCTTTCTACTACTCCATCTGATACAAAAAAAAATGGATGAGAGAATCTTCCAAAGAAAGGAAGGATTAATCAATTTGGAAATAAGTAACTCTATACATGGATGTGTAGATCATGCAAAGAAGTAACTTTCAGACACANGGGTTTAACCACCATCGTGTATAGCCAATATACCATGTCTGGTTTTAGCCCCCATGTTTTTCCATAGGTGCTTCTGGCGAGCATCAGTGCTACCTCCGCTTTCCTCTTTATCCTGTCCAAGTGTTGGTTCCAGGTCAGTTTGGAATCTAGGATTACTCCCAGATATTTAACCTCCCCCGACACTTGTATTTCTTCACCTCGATGTTTTAGAGGTCCCCTCCGTTTTAGTCCTCTTAGTGAATGCTACTATGGTCGATTTGGATGGGCTGGATGATTGATTCTAACGACGTATTATCAAATGCGCCCTCAATGTCCAAGAATGTAGCTAAAAGTACTTCCTTGTTTCTGTAAGTATATTCTACTTTTTCTGTTACCCGACATAGAGCCATTTCTGTTGACTTACCTATCCTGTATGCATATTGGTCTCGATGAAATTGTCTGATAGCCAGTGATACGTCCCTTATATGCCTGTCAAGTAGTTTCTTACCGTTTTCAACGCAAATGACATGAAACTAATTGGTCTCAAAGCCTTCGCCGAGTCCTGTCCGATTTTCTCAGGTTTCAGAATGAAGGTGGCCCTGATCAGTCTCCAAGTTTTTAGTATGTCCCAGTGCTAAGCTTGCCTTGAGGATTATACACAATTTTTTGAAAAGTACTTCCGGTCCCTTTTGAAGCATTGCTGGGTATATACCATCAGGTCCCAGCGACTTTTAGGGTTGAAATGAGTTTACAGCCAATTTAAGTTTCTCCATATCTATCTTTCAGTGCTTAGATAAATGACATAGAGTTTTTTATACATGTAGTCTTTTTGAAATTTGTTCAAGATCAAACATTTGTGTTTATCTTTTAGCGTTTTACTTTTTTGACTAGTCCAATATGTATTTAATCTTGTTATTGTGTATGTGTGAACATTTCAGTGATGAATAAAACTATTTCTATTTCTACTATTTCTATTAATACGTATGTATCTCTTCTCGTTAGTTTTCACTTTTGATTTCTATTAGAGTTTTGATATAAAGGGATCTTCCTTCCCTGCTTGGGGCTTCGTTCACGAGATGGAGTTGTTACTAGTTAACAATCTATCCCGCTATATATCGATATAGCGGAGCCGTGTTGAAATCAATCGAGTCCCAGACACTTTGCTGTCTGGGTAGGATGTTTCCCGTACTGACGAGAGGTAATACCTCGAAACCGCGGTCTGCAGGTGATCTACTTGAATAATTTCAGCATGGTCTTGCTGCTGGATGAACGAGAACCATCTGCGAGACTAGCCTCTATGAGGAATCTTACATACCACGCCCTACTGTGTAGGTAGTTGGGATCAAACTATCATTGCCAAATGCCTGGTTCATTTTTCGGACTGTTTCGGCAACGGTTTGGTTCAATTTGAATTCGTAGAGAAAAATTGGCCAAAAATCGCTTGACGACATCATGTTGTGATGGTGTCTTTATCGATCAGTGCCCATACACCACGTCACAGTAGAATGAATATTTGTTGAGATATGGAGCCACAAAAACACATCACAACAAAAACGGACACATCAAAACGGACACATCAAAACGGACAAAACTTTGAAACGATCTAACGCCTCCCTTGTGTTGATACTACAGTTTGTAGTATCTACACAACAAATTTTCGTCTGCAGCCTACAAAGTCAAAAGATATACAGATTCAGTTCTGTGCATGATTCTGGATCATACAGAGAAGAATGATCATCATATTCATTCAAGGTATAAGCAGGCAATGATCTTGACTTGGTTTTTAACCTGAACGAGGTGACGATAACTCTGTTCCTGAGATAGGATCCATTTGGTAGCCCAATAAGAACAGGCAATATGACCTAGGAAAGAGAATTTTAAGATCACTCTAGATAGACCGTTGAAGCGTACTGTAGACCTCGGCAAACAAATCCGAAAAATGCTTTGGCATATCCACGGCGGTGGAAGTTTACACTCGTTTCTCAACTGAGTATATTATTGGAAACCTATGTTTGGAATGTCTGAAAGATCTTTATAGTTTTTATTGTAGAAAATCAGTTTCCACTTTAACCAATACCTCTACGATACATTTCATCAGTTCGGATTTCCATTTTCTAACATAATATAAATTGATATGAAATCCCTGAAAAATCTGTAAAAAATTTAAAAAAATAGCTGAAAAAACAATTTTTTTGCATACAAGCAACAACCAAACAAAACCAAAAACAATTATTGAACTATTAACACGAGCTGAAAAAAAAATATTAACAAGATATGAAAATAAAAAAAATATGAAATTGAAAGATTCCAAACCAAGTTACTTCACGACGTTTCGATTGTTAGCATCCACAATCGTCTTCGGGTGATAACTGGACTTATTTCTTCGAAATCTGACTATCTATAGGTAATTCAACTGCTTTCACTTATCCTCTTTTCCCTCTCTCCGCTTCATTGGTTTTTACCGGGAGCTGACCGTTTGGAAGGAATTGGTCGTGTTCCGCTTGATTAGAGATTTCCATATGTTACGTATCTCTACGCTAGCTTGGGTAAATGTGTTGTTAGTCAACACATTTACGGCTTATTTACATTTTCTCCTAAACCAGTGTTTCTCCTTGTGGATGATTTCAGCCTGAGTCCACTTGATGTTACGTTGATGAGTCCCAACATGCTCTGCTATTCCGAATTTGCTGGTTTCCCCTCGCTGTGTGTGTTTCTTGTGCTCCGCAATGCGACCTTTCAATAGTTTCTAAGTTTCACAGATGTATGACTCTCCGCACTCGCAAGGTATCCGATAAATGCAATTCTTGGAATCGCAGTCCGCGCTTGGTGGCCTAGTTTTCGTGAGGCTGCTACGGATAGTGTTCCCAGATCTGAAGCAGGTCCTAATGTTATACTTGGACACACTCCTTCTTATCCTTTCCGACAATCCTCTGATGTAGGGAAGTACAAGTACTGGTTGTGGCCGCTTCTCTTCCTTGTGGAGCTCTTGCTGTCTTCTAGCTGAAGCCTGTTCCACCATCATTCTGTTGAAGATCATTTTTGATGATGCCTAGTTCTTTTTCGAGACCTTCCTTCGTATTACAAAGCCCAAAAGCACGGTCTAATAGAGTCTTGATGATTCCTCTTTTAGTCGATTGATGGTGGTTGGATTCGTGGTTCAGATACTGTCCCGTGTGAGTGTGTTTTCGATATACAGATGTTTTTCATTTAGTGTAGGTCCTCTTCACCAATACGTCCAAGAATGGCAATTCGTTGTGGACTTCCTTCTCCATTGTCGAAGTGATGGAAGGACTTACGTTGTTGGTGTGCTTCAGGAAAGTATCTAGTTCCGCATTTCCATGGTTCCAAATCATGTAGATGAAGCCCCAGATCCGGGGCTTCTTGGCAGCTTGTTCAATGGCCAGAGTTACAAACCCCCACATATATATTGGCTATAACCGGTGAAAGTGGCGATTCCATTGACAGTCCCGCATCTTGCTTGATAAAATTGCTTTTTCAGCTAATCTTTTTAATTTTTTACAGATTCTTTCAGGGATTTCAAATAAATCATATCATATCAGACAATGGAAGTCCGAACTGATGAAATGCAACACGAAACATTGTCAACCACCATCAAACACACTAATGACAAATAAATGAAAAAAATGATGAATAAACAATCAACTCACTTTTTCAGTATCACGAAAGAAGATATCCCGTGGAAATCGACGGCCACAGAGACCTACGGATGGTTTTGAGTAGAAACGAATGCCCTCTGCCATTGGACACTGGCATCAGCAGTAAATTCGATGAGATTTTCTCCGATGACTTCCTCAGTAACGGACTCAGTGATGATCCAAATATATTAGCTCAGCAATCATCGGTACCTTACAGAGGAGATATTCCTATTCCTTTGATGCCCACATTAGATGATTGTAAGTGACATTCTTGATTGGAAAAAGTATGTTTCTTCATAACCGATAACTCCTTCGGCATTCTAAACCGAATGGGAATCGCTTTTTTTGACTGCAGCTTTCACGGTGATACAACTAGACGGAATCATTGCTGATACATTTTTGTTTTCAGCTGGAATCCTCAAAGCTCTCAATTCTCTCATAACAGTCGTTAATCTAGAAGTAAAAAGGTGCGAAGCTACAACACAAGCCCTTGATCATCTTCGAAGACTCATTGAACAGTGCCAAGCCTGCAGGAATCCCCCTCCCACTATCGTTGCTACTTGTGAGAGTCACCCTCCAGGATGTTATCCAGGAGTCAGGTGCCGTAACACTCCCGCTGGACCTATTTGTGGACCGTGTCCTCGAGGTTATGTCGGAGACGGTGAGTAGTACTAATTGAATCGTTTGTGATGTAAACTGTAACGTTTTCAGTACTATTTGAGTTGGAGGGCGATTCAGTGTGCGTGAGGGATGTGATAGTTTTTTGTTTTTTTGGTAATTTGATCTTGTGAGCTGGAAAAAGGTGTAGTTTTCAAACTACTTTTAAAGACGTTTTTGTTTGAAGTTTTTTAAAATCTTTTATATCATTTACTAAACAAATCATTGAACAGAAACATGTTCCTTCACTTTGGAGTTCTGGTTGGCAGATACTGGTGTGCATGATTTTAACGAGCTCATGTTGAGCCCCCTCTTCTTAAATGCTTGCTGCTCTCATTTTATTTTTACATTTGCCCTGGACTAAAGTCTATCCAAATCCAAGATAGAGTGAAACAAAACAAAACCGAAGCGTGATGTTCACGTGGTCGCCCAGTGTCAGATGGAAAGGGCAGCGTTCATTGGTGAATTCGCCTTCTTGGTACGAGTTCAGTACCAGCACAGGGTTGTAATCAGTCGTTCGCGTGTTTGTGTGGCGTGCGTTATAGTATATTGTTTCAAATTGTTTTCCAAGATGTCCAGTACAGGCACTGCTGATGACACTGTGAGCAATCCTCTGAGTACAGCCAGGAAATGATCCAAAAAAGATATTTGAGTGTTGAGATGAAAGAAGTGATTTTAAATGGGTTCAAGGAAGAGATGGACATCGACGAAGTCGTATCGAAAGTTTCTGATAAAATTGGACTGTGTTGCGCTTCGATTTACAATGTTTTACGGGAATATAAACAAAAGCATACATTTTCCTAACCGAATACAAATCAGAATTGTCAAACCATTATAAAATCAATAGATGATGCTGATAAACATGCAATCAGGAGGAAAGTGCATGAGTACTTTTTCAGAAATGAAATACCCACGATAGACAAAGTACTCACAGAAATAAATGAAGATGTTTTATTGCCAAGTTTTAAGCGGTCAACATTCCATAAAGTATTGAAACATTTGAATTTGTATGGAAAAAACGAGGGCGCAATAGTTTATTATTGGATAGAGAGGAAATTGTGTTATGGAGGAGAGAGTATTTGACCAAAATTAAATATTATAGGGAACAACAGAGAACAATTTATTTCATGGATGAAACCTGGGTTAATGCTTGTCATACTACCCCTAAAGTATGGGTCGATGAAACTGTGACCTCATCTAGGAGGGCCTTTCTAGATGGACTATCCACCGGATCAACAAATCCATCAGGTAAACTTATATTTACATTGAGACCTGCCTCAATCTAAATATATAAAAAGTAACCCTCGTATTTGTTTCATTTACTTACGTACCTCTTCATAATTTCAGGTAAAGGTAAACGGCTTATTATTTGTCACATCGGCAATGAGAATGGGTTTGTTGCTGAAGGGCTGTGGTGTTTCGAGTCGAAGAAAACTGGAGATTATCACGAAGAAATGAACGGTGAATCTTTCGAACAGTGGTTTTCCAAAGTTCTATACCATCTGGAGGATAATGCTGTGATTGTAATGGACAATGCACCTTATCATTCGCGACGGTTAGAGAAGATTCCGACAACGTCTTCAAAGAAGGTTGAAATCCAAAATTGGCTACGATCAAAGAATATTAGCTTTGAAGACTCAATGCTAAGAGTACAGCTACTAAAAATTGTCAAGGAGCGCAAGCTTGAATATCAAAAATATATAGTCGATGAGATGGCAGCAGGCCAAAACAAAAATGTCCTTCGCCTGCCTCCATACCACTGCGAGCTCAATCCCATCGAGTTAATATGGCCGGATGTGAAGAATTTTGTAGCTCAGCATAAAACCACATTCAAATTTGCAGATCTCAAAGTACTTTTTGATGAGGTTTTGAAAAGAGTCAAGGCGGAGAAATGGGAGAAGTGTGTTCGGCATGTGATATCGGAAGTCGAGACAAAGATGTGGAAGCTTGATAACATAATAGAGGCACAAATTGAGCCACTGATAATTCAGATTGGTGAGGATGACACTACTGATGAAGAGACAAATTCATCCAGTTGAATAATTTTGATTAATATTCCTTTTGATTTCACATAAAAATAAAAATTATCAGTAAAGAAATGATTACGTCTCTTTTCATATAATGCTTGAGTGCGCTGTGAAAAATCCAATGAAAATCTTTTTATATTACACATGTTATCTGCATTTTTTCCCGTTAAACTGCAAAACTTGTGCATTTTACTCGTTATTATAAAAAAAGTTTTCCTGAGTATGATAAAGCATTTGCGATCAACAAGATGTTGGTTCTGAATACGACCCTGGCCAATTCTTGGGTTTTTCAATATCACGTGCGCAGGACATGTCAATGTTTACATCCACTCTATCTTGGATTTGAATTTGCTTTAGGAAGACCAAGTCGCCTGAATAGGTCAATGGTTCATTACCATTATGGTCATGGCACTTCACTTAGTTGGTTAACTTTTCTATATCCAGTCATTAAACCAGAAAACAATATTTCATTAGAATTTTATTTACCATTGAGTATACCCATTATGTCTGCCAATCGATATGTGAACCAATTTCGACTAACTTACCCAACGGCCTATAGAAAGCTATTGTATAAGTGTTGCGATTTTGCTAACTGTTGGCCAATTCCATCACATACGATTCCCATACAACCATCCACTACATTGTTTCAGGATACCAATGCACTCCCGGCAGAACCTGCGCAGAAGGTGCCTGTTTCCACGGAGTCCAATGCCGCGACACAGACCACGGCGCAGAGTGCGGCCGATGTCCACCAGGATACGAAGGCAACGGCCAGGAATGCAGAGAAACCTGCACAGAATCAACCTGCCACCCAGGAGTCCAGTGCAGGGTGACTTCCAGAGGCCCGGAGTGTGGACCGTGCCCCCCAGGCTACGAAGGAGACGGCAGAACATGCAGAAGAGGGTGCTCGCCCGATACCTGCTACCCCGGGGTGCGATGCAGGGTGACTTCTCGAGGTCCCGAATGCGGACCATGTCCTGCTGGGTATGAAGGGGATGGCCGCAACTGTAGGAGCGTGTGCAATCCAGACAGCTGCTATCCTGGAGTCCAGTGCAGACCAACTGCGAGAGGGCCGGAATGCGGACCTTGTCCCAGCGGAATGGAGGGGGATGGTAGGACGTGCGTCAGGAGGAATCCTTGCCAGTATCCGATCTGTGCTCCAGGTATGTCTTCGTTTCAATACTGACACGTTTGAGTGCACGGATATACTAGTTTGTTCTGCTTGTTGTGTCTTGTTATTGACCAAATTGAATGTTCTGATTGAAATTGCGTCCAGTAGTTGAATTTGTAGGGAAATCGCAGGGTATTATTGGGCAATAAAACACAAAATCTAATCTAATAATGGATTGTAAAACATCCTCCCAACTGTGGAAGACAAATTACAGAAGGGCAGAAATTGGGCTCCAGACTGAAACAACACACATATGAGTGTGACTATTTTTTGGGTTCGAAGGAAGTCGATTTTTGGGATTTCTTCCTGACGTTTCCATGGCGCAAGTGGCTACCTTCCTCATAGGTTCATACATCCTGATGTAATCTCCGATGACTGGATGAAACTGCTGCGTAAAGCATGTTCATATCGACTCAGGTAGTTTAGTTTGCTTATACTTGTAGCTGGACTAGATAAATTGTCAATAATATATTCGTCAACCCTTCTACCTGCCGTCATGCTGCTTGCTATTTTTTAACTTCTCAGAATGGAATTCCATATTCGGTTGAGGTTCACAGCTTTGGTATACCTGGTTGGGGGCAGTGAGTTTCGTGTTTTCAAACAGAATCCTGAAGTTTTCTTCACTGAGTGCATACCTCATCACAGCCCCGTGGGTTGGGCAACCTATCGGGCGCGTCCCCAGGTGACGTATGGGGGAACGGCCAGGGGACTGAGGGTCCTGCCCGGGAAGCCAATGTGGCCTTACGGACGGGGTCGTGAGACTCCTGATCAGTGGCAGAAATAAGTAGGGTGAGGGGAACTGAAACTTCCCGAAAGCCTTTGCAAAACATGCACCGTGGACCAGCCTACCCAAGCTAAGGTGTAATGAATGAACAGAAATGTTCACCCCAATCTTCCGCTTGGAATGAGGCTGGACATAGCAGATCATCTCGTGATGTAATACAAAGTCCAAGGCGTAAGCGCATTTGCATCCATGGTTATGAAAAGACGCAAGGATTCTGCTTTGATGCTGTGGAGATTCACTGAACATTCAATTGAAACACCTTCAAGACACTGTTTTTCTCGAGTGTGAGTAAACGCGGTACCCACCTTGCACACGGCTTTCTCATTTCGAAATTTCCAGATAATATACGATGTACCGCACTTTTTGAAATGCCTAAGTCTGCTAGCTCAAGCACTTTCAGTCGACGATCATTTAGTACCGCTTTGTAGATTTTCTTCACCATTTCTGGAGTCGTCACCTCATTTGGTCGACCACTGCGATGCTCGTCTTGATAGCAGGTATGGTCTCATTCAAATTCTGCTACCCAATATTTTACTGTTGCAAAGGAAGAAGCAGACTAACCCAGAGTAGAATCCACTTCAGCTTTTATATTGGTTGGACTAGAATCCAGTTCAGCTTTTATATTGGTTGGACTCAGGTCTTTCTAATGAAAGTATAGTACCTCATAACGATGACCAATTTTCTCCATTTCCACAAATTCACTGAAAACGTTCACTGATGACTGCCAAACAAATACTGAACAACGCAGCGTCTTCAAACTTGAAACATATGCTTTATGGAGTGTGTACTTTCTATACAGTGATATTTTTCAAACAACTAGCGCCATCTCTAGGTCAGGCCGGGTACTTTTGGAATCACCCTGGTAGCTCTCATTAGTGTACACCAATTTGGTCAAACAGACGATCATTTCGCCTTTTTTTGAATAATTAACTTTTTAGCTATGCTTTTCTCTGTTAGTTTTCTGTATTCCAGGGCATTATGAAGGATATTGAACCCCACCACACTCCAACGTCACACGCACAAAAACACTCAATATTCTTTTTATTGTAATACTTCCACTAAATACAAATGATGCAAACTGAATAATTTGTTTTATTTTGAAACAGGATGTGCCCCCACGTGGACGAAACCTCGTCTGTGAACGGGATTTTGGAGGATTCAATATCCCTCTGGATGCAGAATACCGACATATTTGACGTTTCGTAGACTTGTTCATGCACTTACTAACTCTGCACTGAATTACTTAAGTACAAAATGCATAAAAATAATTCAATTCTGGGATGCAGTATCACTAACTCTTACACTGGCACACAAATTAACGAATATACACTGCTCTTCACTGAAAAAAGTTTGGCAATCCGAAACGTTTCGAAATCCAACAGAAATGAAAGAGTGTGAACTTTTACGGCCGGAGATAACTGTGTGAAGGCTACTTTCCAGTTTTTTGGCCGTGGTCTGTAGGTTGTAATGTCTAACCTTTTGTCTACAACTGCGTAGACATTGTCAGAGGCAATGAGGTGACGGTCGAACAGTGAGAACAACTCTAGCATTTCGACCGTTACCTCGTCACATTCGATAATGCCTATCGCAGTAGTAGACGGAACGTTGAACATAAAACCTGCAGACCACGGCCAAAAATTCGGTGAATAATTTGTCGTTTACGATATATCCAATTCAGAAATTTAATGTTTCACAATCGATCAAAATTTCAGCAATTTTGGTATTTTCAAAACTAATCATAATCATAATCGTAATCATAATCATAATCATAATCGTAATCATAATCATAATCGTAGTCGTGATCATAATCATAATGACAATCTTTGAAATCTTGAAAATATACGAGTAACTTGTAGTTTCACAGTTGTGAAAGGTCGTCAATTCAAAGATCTGTACATAAACCTTATTTTTTCTTCTCTAAAAAAGCGGTGGATTTCGAAAAAAAGAAGGGTTGTTTTTTGCACTAGTTTGTAACATCTGTTTCAATATCTTCTTGTAAGATACATTTTACACAAACTCGCTGAATTTTTCTGATGAAGTTGTTTCTGGAAATTAAATTGAAAAAAACACAATGTCAATAATCCAAATTGCATCAATCACTAGAAAGGAAAACAGAGGAACATTATGGGATTATGCAAAAAGTTGTAATGACTGACTCAACTGTAAAACTGTGAAGATGAAGATGTTGGTTGACTGGATATATACACATAACGATTCACATCAGATACAGATATTTGTACTATGAACTTGTTGGTACCGAGAAAAGTGACGTCATTTCATTTATATATATCTTGATTCCCTCGTATTGATATGAAATCTATGACCAACAGAAAATTGAAGAAACAACTTTTTCATTGAAATTCTAACATTTTGAAGAGCGTACATATACAATGCACAGACCCGATTTGAGTTAACAATTGTTATGTTCATAGCACAGTAGGTTGTAAAATTTTACAGTAAATAAAGTATTTTGAAGTGAATTCTGTGATATTTGTTGATGCCAGATGGAATGATTTGCATGTATAAACTGGAATGAGCATTATGATGACATTAATCGGAAATATCCCTAAAAATCATCAGTTTGGAAACGACTTTTAGTGTGCTTAAATTCGATCTATGAAAATAAACAGTTTATCTCTCTGAAATATTATGTTCAGTTTCTAGAAAAACTGAAATAGCATAAAATATCGGAAAACTTCTAAAACACCAAGATGTCTACCACCTGAAAAAATTCACCATTGTTTCAAACCGACTATTTCTTTTAACCCACCTCGTATAGTGTCATCCCTTAAGTAAGCGCCATATGGGAAACTTATTTATTAAGGGTTTTTCGACAAAATTTTACTCCCGATAAAAGTTTGTGTATCCCCTAAAACTGAACATGTACCAACAAAATACAGTAAAACACACGTAATATACGAGGAGCCTTCAAATATTTGATTTTGAGACAAGACCAAAGTACTCTTGTTTTGAAAAATCTCGGACTATGTTATTTGAAAAAGTTGTTCAGCAATATCTAGATTTGAAGTCACTTTTTAAAAAAATTGACCGTGGTTAACACCATAGTTGTGTGATTCACAATATTGCAGACTTTTAAAACAAACCATCGTATACAGGATGCTGCATATCGTTTTAGCAAATTTTAATTTTTCGTAGTCCCTATTTAAAAAAAATGGGTAAAGAAATAAAACTTCACTTAGATGGCCATTACTTCATAACGAATTGTATTTTTCAATACTGAACAACTTCTCCAAATAAGATTTTTCCGAGATTTTTCAAAATAAGAGTACTTCTCTTGTCTCAAAATCAAATATTTGAATGCTCCTCGTAAATTACGTGTGTTTTACTGTATTTCGTTGGTTCATGTTCATTTTCGAGGGATGCACCAACTTTTATCAGGAATAAATTTTTGTTGAAAAACCCTTAATAAATAAGTTTCCCATATGGTGCATACTTTGGGGATGACACTATATACATCTGAAATGGAATAGGAGTTACTCATGCTCTAGATTGAATAAACTGCTATTCATGTTTCTGGGTGAATATGGTTATATGAGACATACTTTTGGTTTACTGTTATGGGAAAATGAGCACATAATTGATTCCAATTCCCTTGCGGTTCAATGTCAATCAATCTATATGGGTTGATGCGATTTGAAATGACATTACGGAGAATTGTCCGCAACAGACATAAATTACAAATGCAAAAAATGCTTCCTTAGTATTAGTTGAGGAAAGTGACCAAATATGGAACAACAAACGTTATAAATGAGAAACATTTTGTAGTAATTATCAACAATCATATATTTTAGGTATACTTTGCAACAAGTTTTGGTTATATTGATTACTTTCAAGTAATTTTTTTTAACTAAATAATGATAAAAGTTTCCGTATTTGGAATAGGCATTCTAAATATGAAATGCCACTATATCCTTGAATATTTGAAAGGATTTCACATAGTGAAATCGTATGTCGTATCGTATGTCATCCATATTTCGAATAACGCAATCGAGAAAAATGGAGAGGCAAGACCTGTTGCGCTTGATATCTTTTTGTGGGCTTCGAACGTGTTTGGCATGAGGGTTTGCTTACCAAACTTCGATGCTATAGGCTTGTCAAATCATTTTTATGTATGGGTATTCAGCTCCCTGAAAAAACATTCCTGCAAGTGGCCGTCTATGGATATTTCTTGGATACTTTTACCATCAATGCTGGTGTTCCCTAGGGATCCATATTGTCTCCGAATATCTTTTTATTATATATCAACGAATCATTGGAAAAAAACAAGAATCCAGTTTATTGCTTTGGTGACGACAGCATACTTGTTTCGTCATTTCACTTGGATTTCAGGACATCGACTGCGGATGCTTGTCTTCACCAGCAGCAGGTGCATATCCTGATGAGAATCTAGAGGTGATTTCTAATTGGGGTGGGAAGGTTCAATTAAATGCCACAAAAACCCAGGCATCGGGGTTCTCCATAGAGATAAATGTGCCCCAACTAGATATAATAATATCAGGAGAGACAATTCCGCTTTCTGTTTCGATAAGTTTGTTGGGGGTCAAAATGGACACCTGTAATTGCGTCTCAACTGTGGCGGCTCATCGTTTTGAAGATCAATTCAGTACACCTCAAACTTCACTTTTCAGGAACTCTATTTGGAGAACTGCAATTGTGTGGAATAAACTTTCTGGAAACGTTTTTACAAATGAATTCAATCCCTGGCGGTTCAAATCCAACGTGAATTGCTACTTTCGCACAGGCACTGCTCTTAGAGTGACTCAAGGGTTTTCTTGTAGTGCTTGTGTTTTGTCTTTAGAAAAATACAATAAACTCCATGAAAAATCAACCCCAACTCACATGAGAGGAAAAATCGCAAATCTAGGTGTCAAACTTTGGCCCAGCGCAGAGCCAGAGCTCACACATGAATCACTTGATCCATGTTTCCGCATGAGCGTAATGCCACAGAAAATATACTTCAAATCTTCAGACTCTGAAGCTGTATTTCCTATCAAGGCATCAAGTGGTTCACTGTCTGTATCAAACACCACCATCTTCTCATCATCTGGATCTGACTTAGGCTCAATCTTTTTTCTTTGGCTTTTTTCTTTTTGATTTCTTCCCGTTCTGTTCCTCATTTCCGTTCTTCGCCAATTTATTTCTTTTTCTTCTTGTTTTCTTCTATGAGGTCATTTTTGTAAGGAGAAGAAGTGATGACTGCTGCAATAGATGCCTTTCGTCCACTATTAGAAGGTTTTCTACTCTTGTTATTACTGTACTGATGTCACATGGACACACTAATCCTAAACTACTGTGAGAAAGACCGGAAGTTGTGGATGCAGGTTCAATATTTGTATTTTGTCCCGGTGTGGGTGCTTCGGTTGAAGACGTAGAGTCATCTGGTGTTTTAAAATTGACCATCGACTGTGCTAAAGGTGGTGGACTTGATATCATCGATGTAACGTTGACTTTGCAAGCAACTTCAACTGCATCTTATCGCGCCACAAGATAGTCGACCGCGGTGAATATACTTTTATTTAATGGCCATAGAACCTTTATACGGAATCCATTTGCTGCAACCTCACCTGTTTGCACTTTCGAATAGCTCAACAATATCATAAGGGCTCAGGTCTGTTTTTGTCACTGATACGCATTCGTATTCACTCATGGTGATGGGTTTTGAGTAGTCCCTTAAACGTTTTGCCTAATGTCTAGAGCTTGTGGGCTGTATGAGGAGGTAAGGACACAATGCCTTCATCACTTTTCCTATCACGTCGATGTTACGAGTGTGAGATCAGCGATACTTTCAATTCCGAAGTAGGATTGGCATGTTTGGTGAAATGTTTGAACCAGTCGGAAGGCAAATAACATAACAACATAACAACAATTGTTATTAATGAACCTCTTTCAGCTGAGGTAGGTGATGCTGTTTGCCGTTTTCCTAAATGGACAACCAATTGGAGTATCTAGCTCTGTACTACGGTGAACCCAGATTCGTCAACATTATATAAGGTATTCAAACAGGTACTTCCGAACTTTGACAATTCATAACGGCTATCTTGTTGAATATATATCTGTCAAATAAGTTGTAATTGATTCAGTCTTATTGCCGTTGTCTGTGAGAGTGTACAGGAGAATCCGAAGCAGTTGACTTGCTCACAAGAACTCGGTCTATCGCAGAACATAACTTGGCGAATTTTACATCGTCACTTGGGCCTGCACCCGTACAAAATTCAACTGACCCAGGTCTTGATAAAATTGCTTTTTCAGCTAATCTTTTTAATTTTTTACAGATTCTTTCAGGGATTTCAAATAAATCATATCATATCAGACAATGGAAGTCGGAACTGATGAAATGCAACACGAAACATTGTCAACCACCATCAAACACACTAATGACAAATAAATGAAAAAAATGATGAATAAACAATCAACTCACTTTTTCAGTATCACGAAAGAAGATATCCCGTGGAAATCGACGGCCACAGAGACCTACGGATGGTTTTGAGTAGAAACGATTGCCCTCTGCCATTGGACACTGGCATCAGCAGTAAATTCGATGAGATTTTCTCCGATGACTTCCTCAGTAACGGACTCAGTGATGATCCGAATATATTAGCTCAGCAATCATCGGTACCTTACAGAGGAGATATTCCTATTCCTTTGATGCCCACATTAGATGATTGTAAGTGACATTCTTAATTGGAAAAAGTATGTTTCTTCATAACCGATAACTCCTTCGGCATTCTAAACCGAATGGGAATCGCTTTTTTTGACTGCAGCTTTCACGGTGAGACAACTAGACGGAACCATTGCTGATACATTTTTGTTTTCAGCTGGAATCCTCAAAGCACTCAATTCTCTCATAACAGTCGTTAATCTAGAAGTAAAAAGGTGCGAAGCTACAACACAAGCCCTTGATCATCTTCGAAGACTCATTGAACAGTGCCAAGCCTGCAGGAATCCCCCTCCCACTATCGTTGCTACTTGTGACAGTCACCCTCCAGGATGTTATCCAGGAGTCAGGTGCCGTAACACTCCCGCTGGACCTATTTGTGGACCGTGTCCTCGAGGTTATGTCGGAGATGGTGAGTAGTACTAATTGAATCGTTTGAATGTAAACTGTAACGTTTTCAGTACTATTTGAGTTGGAGGGCGATTCAGTGTGCGTGAGGGATGTGATTGCTTTTTGTTTCTTTGGTAATTCGATCTTGTGAGCTGGAAAAAGGTGTAGTTTTCAAACTACTTTCAAAGACGTTTTTGTTTGAAGTTTTTTAAAATCTTTTATATCATTTACTAAACAAATCATTGAACAGAAACATCTCCTAGCAACACCTACCACATTCCATTTGAAAGAAATTGTAGGGCCCTTTGAATGATATGTGCTAGGTATTGCTAGGATATGTTTCTGTAAATTTGTATAGTAAATGATATCAAATAATTCATAGAAGCTTCTCCTAGCAACACCTAGCACATTCCATTCAAAGGAAATTGTGGGACACTACAAAGGCAAGTAGTCAAAGGAAAAATCGAAGAAGTATATGCTATCATAGGTTCACCATTGACTATATCCAATATCCAGTCCAAAAGTTGGTTCCTTCACTTTGGAGTTCTGGTTGGCAGATACTGGTATGCATGATTTTAACGAGCTCATGTTGAGCCCCCTCTTCTTAAATGCTTGCTGCTCTCATTTTATTTTTACATTTGCCCTGGACTGAAGTCTATCCAAATCCAAGATAGAGTAAAACAAAACAAAACCGAAGCGTGATGTTCACGTGATCGCCCAGTGTTAGATGGAAAGGGCAGCGTTCTTTGGTGAATTCGCCTTCTTGGTACGAGTTCGGTAGCAGCACAGGGTTGTAATCAGTCGTTCGCGTGTTTGTGTGGCGTGCGTTAAAGTATATTGTTTGAAATTATTTTCCAAGATGCCCAGTACAGACACTGCTGATGAAACTGTGAGCTATCCTCTGAGTTCAGCCAGGAAACGATCCAAAAAAGATATTTGAGTGTTGAGATGAAAGAAATGATTTTAAATGTGTTCAAGAAAGAGATGGAAGAAATTGAGACATCGACGAAGTCGTATCGAAAGTTTCTGATAAAATTGGAGTGTGTTGCGCTTCGATTTACAATGTTTTACGGGAATATAAACAAAAGCATACATTTTCCAAACCGAATACAAATCAGAATTGTCAAACCATTATAAAATCAATAGATGATGCTGATAAACATGCAATCAAGAGGAAAGTGCATGAGTACTTTTTCAGAAATGAAATACCCACGATAGACAAAGTACTCACAGAAATAAATGAAGATGTTTTATTGCCAAGTTTTAAGCGGTCAACATTCCATAAAGTATTGAAACATTTGAATTTTGTATGGAAAGAAAAAACGAGGGCGCAATAGTTTATTACTGG